GTATATGCTTGCATGAGTTTTTGTGGTTGTCAGCTCCCATGCCAATTTGATGCTTAGAAGGAACCCGGGTTCTCGGCAAGAGCAGAAAGTATTCTTAATCGCTAAGCCATCTTTCCACCCCTAGTTCTTAGTCTCAATAATTTTTTTTTTTTTAAGAAATGAACTCAGAAGGAAGTTCAAGGACAATTTTAATGGAGTTTAAGAGAGAAATCTAGAATGGATTACTTGAAAATTCCCAGTAGCTACCATGAAGAGAGATGGAGAAAAAGCCTTGCCTTTTCAGTGACCGATGGGACAAAAGTAGAGATGATTCACTAAGAAAGGGTGAACCGCTCCAGCGGGCATAGGAGGGAGCCCAAAGCATCCAGCCAGGGTTTTGGTCTTTTGTAGGTGTCATCCTCTCAGGTGGGCCTGTATTTCTCTGCTTCCCACCAGGTTCTCTTCCTCAGATGATGCCAGAGAAAAGATGGGCTTCTGCCTTCCGTCACACGTCCATCCCAGCACACTTTCTGTCAGTTCCCACTAGCACACTTTCTGTCAGTTCCCACTCTTGTCACATCAGTACCACCAAAATGGGAAAAAACAGTGTTTAGGAAGTGATACCAAAAAAAGGAAGATAGAGAAAGAGGAGAAGGGGGAGAGAGAGAGGGCGCCTCCATTATATTACTCATACTTCTCTTTGTGTGGTTGCAGGACTGCTCTTTCCCATTTTAATGAACACACATCCAGATTTGCCCTCACTTCAGGTTGAGGGTCCCAGATCTGCCTAAGTACCAGTATGCCTACCTTGACGTGGTCTTCACAACTCTTCAAGTCAACTGAACCTCGGGGGGTAACTAACCCATCCGTGTACAGAAGCTGGAAATCTAAGTGTGGGCATTTGTCCCAGGACCCCCAAAACACGGGCAGGAGAGAGCTTCAACACAGCATAGGTTTTTTTTTTTTTCTTTCAGTTTTTCGAGACAGGGTTTCTCTGTAGCTTTTGGAGCCTGTCCTGGAACTCACTCTGTAGACCAGGCTCACAGAGATCCGCCTGCCTCTTCCTCTCAAGGCGTATGCCACCACCGCCCAGTTCAGCATAGGTTCTTCAGTCTTTGTGTACCCCACCCTTTAAGGCAAGCCTCCCTCAAGCTAAACATGATGTCACCAGTGCAAGAGGAAGTGTCCAAAGCTCTGGATGTAGTTGGCCTGCGCCAGGCACCTGGGAGGCAGCTCTTTCCAGGATGACTCTCCAACCCCTTTGTTAAACCGAAACTCCCTCAGGTCCTTCCAGAAGGTCAGTGGTTCCTCTTCCCCAGCAGTTTTCTCTCTCAGATGGCTGACATTCTCCTTGGTAAACAATTTCTTTTATAATATCATTGAGATCTAAAACAAAATGAAATTGGAACATTGGCTATGTCTTGTTGCCATGGTAACGACGTCAAGCCTGAGAGCCTCCAGGAGATGTGGGTGCTGGGAGACCTCCTCCCAACTGTAAAGGCAGTAAATGATTGGGCCCTGACCAAGGTTAAACAGGTTTGCTATTCGATTAGCAGTAGTTTGGGTCATACATACATCACGTTCAAGACAGAGCTGTGCCACCAGCACAATCCAGACTATGGTTTCCGTGTCTGTAGGGGGCTGGGTTGGTACAGAATGTTGGAGACTGCGGACCACCAGACCCTGAATTTTTTGTAAACAAGAAATTTGTTTTCCTCTGCTCTGAGCACAAGACCCTGAAGGCAGGCTGGTGGATCTGCAGCTGAATCCCCAGAGCTGGGGCATGGCCAGAGCCCTATATAATTTGCCCCTGAGCGTAATAAAGGGGACATTCTTGGCATACTTGTCTCAAGGATGTCCCCTGTGGCCCCGTCTATCTGTCTGTCTCTGTGTGTATATTTTAAAATTTCCAGCCTAGTTCCTGTAGTGTGTAGTGAGTAGGGCACAGAATGGAACCTGTGTAGTTTTACAAGTGGAGGCCCCAGCGAGATTGCCCTTGGGAATGGTGAGGGTGGATTAAAGATGAGTATGTGTGTTTTGTGTGTCTGAGTGAGTCTTAGATTATAGACAGTCAGATTATAAACCACGAAAGGATGGAATGTGCACAGAGAATTTGGATTATGTATATTGTTTTCTTTTTCTTTTTTTTTTTTTTTTTTGACTGACATTTGATTACAGGAACTGCAAAAAAAGGTATTTTGACTTTAAACTATGGGTCTAAGGATATGTTGCTTTGGGAAAGAGGTTCTATTTTTGTTTCCACAGAGCATGAGGACCTGTGGATTTCTTCTAACTGGTGTGGTTTGATGGACCAAGAGCCCCTGAAATGTCACTGTGAATGCCCTCAAAGAGCAGGAAGTAGTCTGGAGAGAGAACTATGCCCAAATTCCCTAAATGATTATTTAAGCAGGGCTCAGGAGCCTGTTTGCCATTGTGGGCCTGAGGAGTAGCTTGCAGGCTAATAAGAAACCAAAAATTTCCCCCATTAATAGCCGGGCAATGGTGGCGCACTCCTTTAATCCCAGCACTCTGGAGGCAGAGGCAGGCGGATCTCTGTGAGTTTGAGACCAGTCTGGTCTACAGAGCTAGTTCCAGGACAGGCTCCAAAGCCACAGAGAAACCCTGTCTCGAAAAAAAAAAATTCCTTAATTAAGGCCATAAACAAAGCCTTTCTGATTCTTTAGCATGGCTGCTGTGTTTATATGGCTTCCCTCTGGCCCAGTGGGGGGACCAAAAGAGGCTAGAGCAGTATGACTGGCGGACAGGATTCTGACAGAAGTATAACGAGCCAATGTTAGTTTACTGAAGACCACAAAGGTAGTGCCCATCAAAATCAAGAATGGACTTTCTGATCCCCTCTCTCCTCCATCTTCTCTAATGTAGTTTGTTCTGTTTTAACGGTGCTCAGAGTAGAACCCAGGGCCTTGTGTGTGCTAGGTAAGCACACTACTGCTGAGCCATGCCCCCAGCCTGCCTTCTCTTGTACACACTCTCTTCGAGAATTAAAAGCCTGACTGTCTGCGTAGGGTCTGAGTCTCATACTAATACATTCGAAAGCTCAGAACCCTGAATTACGTAACCTGTGGGTGTTCCCTCCTTGTAGGTTACGAGGACTGAATACTGTACCTCCCTGCTAACAGTGTCTATCAGGACGAGTAGTAATCATGCCATGTGGAGACATCGTGAAGGAGACACGCACCGAAGTCTGTGTGCCAGATACTACATGGAGTTACTGTATTTGACTTTTTTTTTTGAAACAGGGTTTCTCTATACAACAGCCCTGACTATGCTAGAACTTACTCTGTAGACCAGGCTGTCCTCTAACTCAAGAGATTCACCTGCCTCTGCCTCCCAAGCACTGGGTGTATTCGACTTAATAACTTGAGTTGCTGCTGGCATCTCTGAGACCCAGAGAGAAATCAGTTAAGTAACTTCTCAGAGATGAATGTCTATGCATGAATCAGGTGATGTCAGGCTATACATGACATAGGGCTGTACATCCTCCTCGGAACGCAAGAGCCAGGGTTCCTATTGACTCTGGAGATTGTGTGTGTGTGCTTTGTTTTTGTTTTCCTTTAATTGTAGTTTAGGCTGGCCACAAAGTGGCTGTGTAGCCCAGCATGGCCTCGGCTCTGATCTTGCCTCTACTTTCCAGGTGCGGGGATTACAAGCAGCCACCATATATCTAGTTTGACTCTGAGTTCATGAACTTGAAATAAACCATTAACACTATTTTAATCCCCCCTCAAAACACTTAATTGTTCTGTCATGGATTTCCAATAATTTGCTAAGAGCCTTCAGAATATTCTGGCTGTTCTATTAAAATGATTCTCATATTAATAAATAAACAAATAAATAAAAAATAAAATGATTCTCATATCACTTGGAAATTAGAAATCTCTTCATGTAACATATGACATTTAATCTGAAAAATTAGTCTCAAGAAAAAAAAATCTCAGTATATAGCCCATGCTGCTCTTCAATGTTCAGCCTCTTGCCTCTGCCTTCTCCTGCTGGGATTAAGGGGTGCAGCACCAAGCCTGCTGTTTAGTGACCTTTTCCTGGGCAGAGCAAACATCTACCCACACCCCCCATACTCCCCATAGAGTTCCAAAGATAGACCAAAGTAGACCATTACGCCAAGATCCAATTTTGGGAACCAATAACTTTGCTGGGCTTACAGAAGCATGAGTGAGGAGGTACTTACAGCCCTGTGGGTGACCCCCAAATAACCACATCATTGAAGAGTCCCCCCACCAGTCACTGCAGAGATGATGTCATACATCTGCTTCACCTTCCTGCCCCTGAGACCAGACAGTACTGCAGACCGCTGGAAGGGTCACATGACCTTTCTCACTGCCTTCTGGAAGGGTGTCCAATAGACCCAATCACAAGGGCACCTGGGAGCAGCCACAGCTGCTTTGATGGGCATAGCTGTTATGCTCAGTCAGGTCGGTCCCTACCCTTGTTCATTTTAATACCTGAGCAAGATTTGATTAAGCCAGAAGGTGGTGGCGCACACCTTTAATCTCAGCCTCAGCAGGCAGAGGCAGGTGGATCTCTATGAGTTCGAGGCCAGCCTGGTCTACAGAGCTAGTTCCAGGACAGGTAAGGGCTGTTACACAGAGAGACCTGGTTTTGGAAAAAATTATTTATTTATTTTTTTCACATATTGGGATTGGATATTTATCTTCCATTGTTAACCCCCACCCCTGCACCTTTAACGCAATCCTCCATCTAAAGAGGATGTCATCAGAAAAGCTTTCAGAAGGCGGATGATGGCACAGATAACTGGAGAAGGCTCATTCTGCACTTCTGATAGCCAAAGCCAGCTGAAAGGAGATGAACACGAGACCTGAGATTCACTCATGAACAGGCTTGCTGTCCTTAAAGAAATGTCCTTTATCGACTCAGCTAACAAGCCTGTGACCAGTGACAGACAGACTACCCAGCAGTGTAAGTGTTAAATGTCAAGATAATACACATTGTGTCAATGAAAACAGATGCCTTCGGCCCCGGAGTTAATATTTGAAAACTTTATTTTCTCAAATGAGCACCAACACAGATCAGAAACGACAAACAATGCAACTTCTCACTAATACTGAGTCATTATGTGCAGATACCGAAAAGAGGTGAAGACAATCACTCAAAAAAAATCGCCTTTGTTATTGGAGCAAAGTGACCTGCAGGGGAAAAATGCCACCGAAGACAATCGAAAATGAGAAACAAACACAATTTGAAATCCAACAATACAGTTTGTAAACACAGACAGACATACAAACCTGTGGTACACAAGTCTCTGCGGGCTGGGAAGAGGGGACTGATTCCACCTTCACCTAAACACTGTAGAACACCGGGCAGAGCTAACCTTGTAGAGACAATAAGGTCTTTCTTGGCTTTATCTTTGATTCTGGTACATTTCATGACTGTATAGTAATTTTTAGAAATCAATCACGATTTTAAAAACCTTTCCCCCTCACAGAACTAGAATGTATTTTCCATTGAGGCAGATTTTTTTAAATACAAAAGTGATGTTCAAAATTTGATTTGTCAGCCTCTGCCTGAACCTGAAGCAATCTGACCTTCAAAAAAGAAAAAAGAAAAGAAAAATAAAAAGATATCGTGTTATCAATGTCCTTTTAGCCTGAACCAGAACCAGTTAACATTTAGTATGACCTGGCTTCTAGAACAATCAGAGCCCTCGGATGTGTGACTGATCTGTTCACATCTCAGAAGCATGGACCTGACTTCGATTTCATCTTACAGGTTTGCTTTGCCAGCTTTAGAAGCAGAGCACAGAGCACACTCCAGCTCAGGGAGAGAAATCCTGCTCCATGCTGTTGGTCCACTCAGACATGGAAACCAGAAAGGGAAACTCTACGTGCCCAAGGTGTAAACAACTGTAATTCAAATAGTGTCCTCAGTAGAAAAGAAAACACGCGTGCGCGCGCGCACACACACACACACACACACACACTCACACGATTCCAATTTCTCAGAAGTTCTCCCAACTACAGCAATTACTTCTAAGTTGTTACTACTGAAACTTGTTTCTTTTCTAGCCAAGACAGGATAAGAAAGTATCAGTTCACAACCTGGTAATTTACTACAGTCTGTTCCACTGGGGAAAACGCAAACACAAAAATGCAAAAAAAAGTTTTAAAGCCTCAATCCAAGTTAAAGTGACAGATCTTTAAAAAAAAAATCTTGGTGATTACTCTTTCCCTTAAAATGTACTTCAAGAAACACAGAGGAAGCCATAGAACTGAAAACAAAGTGCTCCCAGGGATCTGAGAATACAGCACCAAATATATTATTTAAAAAATTAAATATTATTTACAAAAGTATATTTCACAAGAGACTTGAAAACCTTATTATAAAGGGGACACCGCTTTAGTACACACTGATCTACCAGCAAAGACTTACTTATCTACATGATCTGACTAGGTGCTGGGGCGGGACTCAGCCAGGCCCAGCCGAGAGCCCATGGGCATCAAGCTTGGCTACCCTTGTCTCATGCTCATTCACCCATTAGCAGCCTAGGGAAATATGGGGGAGGGGGTGAATGTATTCCAGGGTGGCCATGGCCCTATTACCTTACAGTGGCACGGGGAGAAGGAATGGGAGCTGGTCAGCTAGTCTTCAGTTCAAAACGAAGGCAGCTGTGGGCTGAGGTACAGAACTTGAGGCCCCTCCCTTTCTCTTTGCTGTTCACCCACCCCTGCCCAAGGTCACCCAATCAACTCCAATTCCCTGAACCTATGTGGGGTGAATGGATGAGGTCTTTGGTTATGCTGAGTCAATAATTTGGTGAGGAAAATAAAGAAACCGAACGAGGCTTGGAGTGCGCTTGTCTCCCTTGCTCAGCTGTGGACTCTAATACTGCTAAGTGTTAGGCAAACAAGCCGAGGATGGAGCAAGGGTCACACTGCTAGGTGTTAGGTAGACAAGCCGAGGATGGAGCAAGGGTCACACTGCTAGGTGTTAGGTAGACAAGCCGAGGACCAAGCGAGGGTTACACTGCTAAGTGTTAGATAGACACACCACGGATGGAGCGAGGGTCACACCGCTAAGTGTTAGGCAGACAAGCCGTGGATGGAGCGAAGGGCATAAGAAGCACTTCTGGTGTCACTGCCACAAAGAGAAGCCTAATGGGTTTTGGTCCCACCCCCAAAGTAGCTATGGAAAAACCGCGACCTGCTACTCCCTTTCGGCACCATATATGGTACCAGACACCCACTGGATGCTCAGACATCAGTTCAAGAAAAATCCAGAACCAGGCTCCTACTGGAGCTTGCTCTGGTCCAAGATGATCAAGGACCCCACCAAGTAAAAACAGTGGCACACTGGTCTCCTTCTCTGACCCTTGAGAACGGCAGGACGTCACACAGCCAAGTTCTACGCCTCACTAATTTTAGTTTTAAAGAAAAACTATCCACCTAGGTTTAACCCCCACCCTCCATTAGAAAAAGAAAAAGGACTTTAGTAGAGCTGGGATATTCCCTGAGCAAAGGGTGTGTAATCAAATCCTTAAATGAAGGCCACTTCCCTCGGGCAGGATTGGGGGGTGGACGCGACAAGGCTTGACTCTGGAGACAGTTTTGGAATGTGAAAGTGGAAAAATGTGTGTCACTGAGAACTTGAGCCTGGGAGCCACCGAGTGGTTTTCATGAAGCAAATCTTAGTCCTTCTGGGGCTCAGTCTGTCCTGCAGTCCATGGTGGTGGTGGCGGCGGAGATTGGGGGGTGAGGTGGGGGGGAGCTAATGTTCCAAGGCTCTGGACAAGGAGACTTGAGGAACAAAATCCTGTTTCTAGGAATCCTTACGTCCTACAAGAAGAGTGATCTGCTGTTAAACAGGCCTGACCTGTTCTCTGCCACCTTGCCATCACCACCAGCAGGGCAGTGCCAAGTCCCAGATCAGGACACGGGGGACAAAGCCAGGGAACCACAGCTCTCCTGTTGGGAAATTAGTTCTGTTGAAGATGAGATTTGAAAATGCCCTGGGTCAGATGCTTTAGTCTGAGTTAACCAGTTTTACAGATTCTTATTCCCATGAACTCTTTTATTAGGCTTTTTTTAAGAAGTGCATTTTCCTGTAGGACCAGCCTAGTTGGAGAACAATGTTGAGAATTACCCACTATGTGTGTATTTTAACATTATTTTCTGCCTAGGAAATGAAATTAATTCAAATGAGTTTCAGCCATGTGCCACGTCATAGCTGAACTGCTGTAAAACATTCAGTGTTGACTGATGCGCTAAGTTCCTTATCGTCTCGAGACTTACAGGGAATTTTCCCCCATCCCTAATGCAAAGCTTGGGTGGGGTGATGGGTGAGGGGGCCACAGTGAACCTATGATTCCTCCCCACTGCAGGACCACACTGTCAGAAGATTACTCTCCCCACATAAGACACTCGGGTCTAAAACAACAGAGGCACGAGGGATGCAATCTTGGATCTTTGCTTCTTAGGTGATGATGGAACTGTAGGAAAAAAGGCAAACCAGAAACACTTTGCACAGAGAACTGCTAATCCCGTGGAAGCGACTGCACACGGAGGAAGGATGTGCCGAGCCCGGACTGGCTCGAATCTAAACTGTTCCTCCCTGAACCTCTCCTCATCACATTGCTCCCACAGAACTGCTGACTAGTTACCAATTCTTACTTTTCCTGCTCGTTATCAGGAGTTCCCAGGCTGCGACCCGTGCTCCCTGGCTTTCCTCCACTGTGGATTTCAGGGTGCTGCTGGCTAAATGGAATATTTGCATCTTGCATCTTTCCCTTCACTGAAAGAGTGAAAGAAACCAAGAAGGTGATTGCCCACGGGTGGGGTGGGGGCGGGAGGCATCAGAATCACTAAAACCCATTTGGGCTTTACCTACCCCCCAACCCACCCTAGAAGGACATTCCGCGGCCCAGAATGCCAGGGTCTTGCCCTGTCAGCAAGAATCAGGGCCATTTCTTGTGCTAATCTGCTATCCTGGCACATTTCATGTTAGGACAGAAGTTTGTTGTCAGAGAGAATATAGCCATGAGGTATTTTTTTTTCTCTTTGTCCTTTAGAAAGAGTCAATTATTTCAAGCCAGGTCCCCAAGAGTAGCACGCCTTTGTTCTACCTCTACCCTCCTGCCCCTTCCCCAACCCCAGGACTCTCGGGTTCATCTTTGCTCTTCCTCGTGCCCAGGTGCCACTGCTCTGACAAGAGGCCACTAGGCAGCTCTCATGGGCTGGGGGCCCCCTTTCAAGGTGGACGCCACCACACGGCCAAGGATCTGTTCTGTTTGTCATTTTGTTTTCAGCCAACACTGGAACAGAGAAGCCAAGATCAACTCACAAACAGATACAAAGCAAAGAGACAGAGAGACAGCGATTCAGAGGCCAGTCACCAAAAAAGATGGCGTCAGGGTAGGAGTATGCCCCCTGATGGCAAGGCCCCTGAATGGATGGAACCAAGTGTTCAGTCACTCTCTCACGCTTGGGTAGAATGTTCGATTGGATGGCATTCATGTGGATGCTGGACCGGATGGACGCTGTCGGGTCAGTCCCAGCCATTGTCCTTGATCATGTGTGCTAGTTCAATGATGTATTTGCCTTCTTTATATTTCTGACTGCTTTCAAAAGCATGTTCCTATAAAAGAGAGGAAGAGAAAGAATGCTGAGTGATCCAAGGCAAACAGGTAACCGCTGAGGCACAGAGGCAGGGATGGTGCTGATGAGAGGCACCAGGACAGCAAAAGTCAGGTCTACTGAAGATGCTAGCACACAAGCATTCTGAGTTCCTATACTTAACAGCACAATGGAGGGAACAGATGGGCTTCCTCAGTATCGTGACAGAATTTCTTTTAAACCTCTGCTTCAATGCCACCATCTTGGTAAGTTCTTTCACCTGTCATGTCTTTCTTTGCTGGCTGTGCCACCGTCTACCCAGCTTCTTCCCTTATCTCTATCCACAGTACTCCATATTTCCCAATGCACACAACATTCCCGTTCAGTTTCTATTGCCTGTTATGCAAATGTTAAAGAAAGTGGAGATGTTTATTTTTTTTAAAGTTTTTTTTTTTTTTGGTTTGTCGAGACAGGGTTTCTCTGTGGTTTTGGTACTAGCTCTTGTAGACCAGGCTGGTATCGAACTCAGAGATCCGCCTGCCTCTGCCTCCCGAGTGCTAGGATTTTTTTTTAAGATTTTATCTATTTATTATGTATACAGTGTTCTGCCCCCATCCTGTATACCAGGACACCAGATCTCATTATAGATATAGACGGTTATGAGCCACCATGTGGTTGCTGGGAATTGAACTCAGGACCTCTGGAAGAGCAACCAGTGTTCTTAACCTCTGAGCCATCTCTCCAGCCCTGAAATGTTCGTGTTTTCTGCACTGCCATATCACTAGAAGATTAAAAGCCAGCTAACAGGCTTCAGTGAATAAAGTGCAGCTGTTGGTAGAGCTACATAGTATTCTCTGTTGTAATCTCATGTGCGTGCGTGTGCGTGCTCACACACACTCACTCATGAGCTCCTTAGGTAACCCAGATTTCTGAAGCTTACTAGAGGTCTGCCCTATATATGTATCTAAAGTTTGTATATTATTTCCACTAGTTTCTAGGAACACAGGAAAGCCTGGTTATAATCTTTTTTAAATGAAGGTCTAAAAAAATGATATTTTTATTTTATGTGCATTGGCATTTTGCTGGAGTTACAAGCAGTGGTGAGCTGTCATCTGGGATCTGCAAGAGCAGCTTTTAATCGCTGAGCCATCCCTCCAGCCTCGGTTATAATCCTAAAATGTACTTGTTCGGCTTAGGTGGGATAGCAAGAGGAACAAGTATTATGAGGCCAGCCCGGTCCTGTTTCCCTTGTTTCCACCTTAGATGAATCAAGTGTGTCTCTTTCACTGCTGTGCTCCAAGGTGATGATAGAGGCTACATAAACCCCAGTACAGCACTGTCCCCACCCCACCCCATCACGGCCCCACCAGCTTGCCTGGGTGTAGGATCAAGGACTGAGAACACTGGATCCCTGGAGCCGTAACTCGGGGAATAATTGCGGTACAGGGCAGTGGAAATTGTCTCTTCTGCCTGAGCCTCAGCAGTCAGTAGGACACCAAACCGTGTCGGTGTTTCAGAACCCCTGGGCTTTAGTTATCTTGCTAACCAGAGAACTGTTTATGAAATGAGGAGCAAGAGGGGAACCAGGAGAATGTAGGCACAAGACAGAGGAAAAGCAAAATAACTGTGTCCCCAGATGATCAGCAGCAGAACTGGGACCTCATGGTCTGTGCTTGTGATTCTAGCCCGTGGCAGGCTGAAGAGAAAGGACCCAAGTTGCAGGCCAGTCTGGTCCTCGGCAAGACCTAACACTTCTGCCGCCACAGTCCCATTGCTCATAATTTATTTCCCCACATAAACGTCAATACTTTTAGAGCTTTCATTACTTCCTCAGCAAGGCTGGCTGGCCAGGATCCTACGGCCACCACCTACCATGCCCAGGGGCTACTATATTCATTAGCACTTAAAAAGCAGAGAATGAGGCCGTAAAGCCAGGTTTGAACCTCATTCCAATGCTTAGAGGGAGGCTGTGGAAGCATTTGCCTATATTTTTCTTTTTGTCTGGCTGTTTACTTTTTAGTTTAGCAACACAATCTACCCGCTGGAAACTCTTGAGTGCAGGGAATACAAGTGTTTGGATAGCCAGTGTTTTTATACTTTCTCTGCAGATGTATATCTGTTTATGTGTACACGTATTTGTGTGTGTGTGTGTGTGTGTGTGTGTGACTAAGGGGGGTGGGGAGGATGTGTGTTAGTCACAGGTTAATGGCACGTGTCTTCCTCAGTTGCTTTGTTGAGACAGTCTCCCACTGAACCTGGAGCTCACCGATTGGCTAGACTGGCTGGCCAGCAAGTCCCAAGTATTCTCCTGGTTTGTAACTACCGAGCTCTGGGATTACAAACATGTTACTGCACTCAACTTATTTTTTCCATGGGTGCTGGGGATCAGAACTCAAGCCCTCATGCTGTGGACAAGCACTTTGCTGAGACATCTTCCTGCTGTTGCTACATAACACATCCCCGCACACAGTGCCCAGTCAGATGCTGCTAAGTCCTGTTATAAATGTATGCATGCGTACCGACAGGGTGTTCCCAGAACAGGTGAAGGACTGAGCCTGGAGAAGTCAGCTATTTGTCAGGCCTGAGGGAAGCTAGTGGAAGAAAACAGCCCTCAGAGAGGAGGCCCTTTGCTACCTACCGCTCCAGGCCCCTTCCACCCAGGCCCTTTCGTACTTACATATTTCCAGCCCAAAGTGGTTTTGCAGTTTTCACAGTAGATGTCTGCGACCGCATGGAGGCCTGTTAGCAACACCCGCTCTTCTGCAGGCCCACAGCCCACATTAACTCTACGCCAAAGACAGAAAGAGAGCGGGTAGTTAGTCATCCGGGTAAACAACCATTCGTCATTCAAGTTGAGCTTCTGGCAAAAACTGACCAGACAGGACTGCTCCCGGGGAAGCCAGCACTGAGAAGAAAATGGTCTAGGGCGGAAATGAAAGGTAGCCATGTGGAAATATCTCAGGGGGAATAAATACTAGATCTGCAAGATTAAATTCTGCAAGCTAACCAAAACAGCTCTGGATGAGTTTGCTTAGGGTTTAAATTTCCTGACACAGATTTTTAATCTTGTAACTAAAAGAAAAACTGTATTACATTTACTTGTTGGGGACACATGCATGCTACGGTGCATGTGAAGGGCAGGACAACTTCGGGAGTGCGTTCTCATCTACAATAAGGATTTCCAGGGACTTAACTCATGCCGTCAGGCTTTTGGGGAGCATTGCCTTCACCTGCCCTAATCTGGCAACTGCACAGTGAGGTTCACAGCCTTGAGACAGGTCCTTAAAAGGTTCCAGAGGACTGAGCAGTGGTGGCGCACGCCTTTAATCCCAGCACTTGGGGGCAGAGGCTGGCGGATCTCTGTGAGTTCGAGGCTACCCTGGTCTACAAGACTTAGTTCCGGGACAGGCTCCAAAGCTAGAGAAACCCTGTCTCGAAAAACCAAAAAGTTGATGGTGCCTAAGCTGGCGAGCAAGCCTTAGCATAAGGGCGGGGGGCCTAGACGACCAAACATGACACCTGTTTCAAGCTGTGCTAGATTTCCTTACATAGTTCAAGTGTCTGTGAACTTTGCCTTCCTACTCCAGCCAGAGGGCTTGCGTGTCCATGGTTGACAAAGGGCTGTGTAGACATCCTCGGCAGAAGGGATGAAGCCTTCCACGGGTTCTAATCACCCCTCCTTTCTCCTTTAATAATGAATCTCGGGTCTTGCTGACCTCTGTGCTGAAGAAGCGCCCCCCCCCCCCGCCGTGTTTTCCTTGTGGGAAGACCCAGTGCTGGGCACTGCAGTGAGTACTTTATAGTTGGAGGGGCTGCCTACAAAATTTCACCTAAGGTACCTGACAGACACTGACTACTAGCCAATGGCCCTAGGAGTCTTACTAATATCGAGAAGGCAGAGATCATGGCCTAGTCACTGAGGCGTACTTTCCCCTCCCCTCGGGGATTTCACCCAATAAGCAGATGCTCCATCCAGAGACACTCACACTGAGTTAAAGAGGTATGCTCGTCCTTGACTTCCCTGGAACGACTGAAATACAAGAAAACAAATCAATTGTTAGACATCCATGCCTCCTATGCCCATCTGGGAAAAGACCCCACCAAATCACAAGCCTGACCTTCCCTGCAGGAGGGAACTGGCAGACTGCAGAGTCTAGCTGGCAGGAGGCATGGGAGAGAAGGTGAAGGCATAACAAACAGCCTACATGGGGGCTAATTTACCAGCTCAGGTGAGAAGAGGGACCGGGCACAGGTTAAGCAGCCAGCTGGCATGTTGGTACAGCCTCAAATACCAGCGCTACCATGGGGCACACTGAGAAACATGATCTTTATTTAACAACAACAGGACTCTGGGTAACTAAATACCCCTCTGTTCTTGACACTGCCTGACAGCGAATTCGCTGAGAGGATTAATCCACACCACCATTCCCGGTTTGAGCTGATGTCAGCCATCTGTGTTAGCCATCGCTTCACACAGCAGCTCGGCACAGAAAGCCAGGGGCAACAGTCTGTCCTCTTCTTACTCAGAGCCCGGCACAGGAACTTGTTCTCATCACATGCCTGGCGCTGGTCATTTCCATCTGCCACAGCGGTTAGGGTCCTGAGGAGGAGTCTATGGCTCCACTTCTGGTGTGGAAGTGGCTTGGTCTCTAGGTCTTACCCAGCAGAAGCCGCAGCACTTCAACCTCTAGCTGGGTCTGCCTTCTGGATGTCTAGTGGCAGAGTGACTGGGGATGGGACAAAAAGGAGTCAGAGCAGCCATGCAAGCTGGCATCTACTTCCATTAGCACAAGCCTTGTCCGTGTTTCCCATCTCTAGTTTCACTGAGCTATCTGGCTGACATGCGCCAGCCATGTTCTGTATTGCTGCTTGCATTTTTAATATGGTATGACAATTGTATCCGAATTTAACTTCCTAGTCAGCTCTGGGGGGAAAAGTATAAAAACGGACAAGGAAACAAGGAACTCTGAAGAAATCTGGGGCGTCTAGTTGACAGATGACGAGAAGAGACAGCAGGGTTCAGAGTACTGGGCCTCAGACAGCCATTTTGTCAAAGTACAGGTCTTTGGAAGTTGGTGTCTATGGCCACAGAGAGAGCAGCATTCCTGTGGCAAAGCGTCCACTGGAACAGCTGGATAGCTGGATGCCTTCCCGCCCAGGTGCAGCTCAAGGAGCAAGCAGATGCTCCCCAGCTGCTGCCCACACCCAAACCAAGTCTCCTGAAACATCGCCAAAGACCTCCCAGGCACAGCGAAGCTGCTTCGGGTATCATGGCCTCGACTACTGAACGTGGAGGTCCCAGAGACAGCCTAGACTTTACACAAACGGTCCAAGGGAACAAAAGCTGCCGACTTAGTGGCCTCTTCTTGCTGCTTCATTGCCGTAGTGCTTACTCTAGCCCAAGCCCAACCACACTGCTTAGTTAATGTGCACAGCTTTGCCCACCTGGTTCTCTGACCAACACCTGTGCTCAGGCTTCCTAGTTCATGTGCTTTCCTCCTTCTCTGCATCTGGATTTAGTTTCAACTATGCTGTGAGTTTCAGAGGGCATGACCCACATCTTCAAGTCTCTCTGAACCCCCGGAACAGCATGTGAATCTGGCACATAACGATTGATTTATTTATCTTTATTTTATGTGCATTGGTGTTTTGCCATGGGTGTCAGGTCCCCTGGAACTGGAGTTACAGACAGAGTCTCATAATGTAGGCCAGGCTGGCCTTGAACTCTCAGTAATCCTACTTCAGCCTCCAGAGCTGATGGATCATGGTTATGAGCCATTACACCTAGTTCAATCAGCAGATATTAAATACTATTCCAGTGAACTGTCTCTGTATTTTCTTTAAATACTATTGGGGTGCATGAATTCATGTGTCCTGATATCTGTATGCCTGTGAAGCTATCACCACCATCAAGATAAAGGATAATCACCAGGCCTGGTGGCACTGATTTATAAGTAGCATTTCAGAAATCCAGGATCACACACACACCCCTCTCATTACACACACAGTCCCTAGCTGACCTGGAACTCACTATGTATACCAGGATGGCCCACCTCTGCCTGGACTAAAAGCATGCACTGCACTAGACTACAATACATTTTTATATGAAACTCATTGGTGTTAACTCCACCACCTCACCTCCCTTTCTTCTCAAAGAACCAGTTACCAAATGCGGATTTACTCTATGACCTCAGAACATCACTTGGCTTCTGTCTGTAAGACAGTCTGATTATGGGCGGATGGGCATTTTCTTTAGGATAGTAGAATCCTAGGATTAAAGACATGTGCCACCACACCCTGCCTCGATTTCTGTTAGTTGAGGTTAACCTGGTCTACCTAAGAGTGTCCCAGGTTAGCCAGGGTGACACAAAGGACAGAGATCATGGAATCATTGTGCCTCAGGATTCCCTTGAGTCTCTCTGCATCCCTTTCTCAATTACAGCTCGGCAGGCAGTCAATGCCTTCTGTCACTCATACACCGTGTAAGAGTTTTTGTTTGGCCTCTTTTACTCAAAATTATTTAAAACAAATTTTAAGGTATATTTTATTTATGAAATGTATGTAAGTTGATGCCCAGAGGACAGGAAAGAGAGTGTCGACCTCCTGGAGCTAAGAGTTATAACCAGATGGTTGTGAGCCATCTGATGTGGGTGCTGGGAACTGAACCCAGGTCCTCTGTAAGAGCAGCAAAAGCTCTTAACCATGGAGCCATCTCTCTAGCCTCTAGCTCAGTTCTTTTAAGAGTCATCCATGCTGTTGGGTGGTGGTAATCCCAGCACTCAAGAGGCAGAGGCAGGTTAGCTCTGAGTCTGAGGCCAGCCTGGTCTACAGAACTAGTTCCAGGACAGCCAGGACTGTTAAGAAACCCTGTTGCGAAAAACAAAAAACAAAAAACAAAAAAAAAAAGAAAAGAAAAAGAAAGGGAGAAAGAAAGAAAAGGCTCTACTTATGCACTTATGTATCTGATGTACATATGTGATTTATCTGCACACCAGAAAAAGAGAACTGGACAGTGTGCTCACTGCCACGAGGGTGCTGGGAATTGAACTCAGGACCTCTGACGAGCAGCCAGTGCTCTTAACCGCTGAGCCATCTCTCCAGGCGCCATATAAAAAGTTCACACCATATATACTTTATAGCAGCACACTCACGGCACCCATGAATATGGACAGTAAACTTGCACTCAAGCATTTTGCCAAAAGAGCTCTGCACTGGGAACGCCCATCTGCTCCAGGGCATTGCTCGGGAGTAACTGCTTGGAGCCTGACACAGATTAAAATTCCTAGAGAGCAGGGCTGTGAGGTAGGATGCATGGCAAAGAAAACAATCACCTTGGGCTCAAAGGTGGCTCACAGTTTTGCCAGGACAGATCCTCCAGGCCTGTTTGGTAAGAGCATGCTGGCAGAAGTCCAGGCCCTGCCAAGGGTGCTGGACCCAAGCAGGGCTGTTCTGGTGGGAGTACGTCTTCAGGTAGGCTCCAAGAAGCAGAATCTACCACTGTCTCCCCAGCCTGGCACTCAGAGCCGCTGCATTTTCTGAGGCGGAAGTCTGGCTGCTCTTCCTTCCACTGTGGATTCCACCACCCCGGGGACCCTGCCAACCCAACATTTATGATGAGAAAAACAGACAGGGAGAACAACAGGCTTCTTGCAAATAGACACAGCAAGAATAGCCTGGCTGGGTCACTGTATTCCATAGGGCTGGCCCAGCCCAGCACAACCTGGCACAGCCTGGTGTTCCCTTGGGTGAGGGTGGTACCTAAGGTGGGGAAGCTAAAGGAAGCTAAGGAAGCAATTAAAACAAGGCAAATAGAACCGAGACCAGGAGATGCCAGACTGTCAGACACGTTTGTTTGCTGTCATTACTGCCAGGCAACAAAGCAGTTCTTTTCCATGCTGTGTGTCAACCAAGGCTGGTGTGCAGGCCGGCACCAAAGGCTTTGTTTTGTTTCGGGCATACAAAACTTTTCTTCTGTCCTTCAAAGTACACTACCAGCAGTGGGCCCAGCCCTTCCAGGCGGCTCAAAGACACAGAAAGGGCCCAAACCACTCAGTTCTGGCCCTGCTGGACGTCTGGAAGGCAGCAACTCCTTTTTCAAGCAGGGAGCTGCTGAAGCTGGGTGTGGTGGCACATGCCTGCAACCCGAACTCTTGGGAGGCAGAGGCGGGAGGAATGCGGGGAGGCCAGCCTGGATCACACGCAAGACCCTGCCTCAAAAAGAGTGAACACTGGAGCATTAGGGGGCAGAAGGCAGCGATGTGGGGAGCAGGTACAACCTCTGGCAACAGACTGAGCACTTGCTCCTCTGGGTAAGGTAGGAGGAGCTCGTCATTCCAGAAGACCTAGTTCCAGTCCTGACTGTGACGCCCCCACTCACCTGCTATCTGACTCGTGCCTCTCTTGGCTCTCATTTTCATCTATAAATGGAAATCATGCCCATTTCAAAGGGCAGTTAAGAGGGGGAAGCAGCCGGGCACACACATTTAATCCCAGTACTCAGGAGGCAGAGGCAGGTGGATCTCTTTGAGTTTGAGGCCAGCCTGGTCTACAAAGAGTTCCAGAGCAATCAGAGCTGCTGCAGAGAAACCCTGTCTCAAAATCCAAACCAAACCACAAAACAAGGAAACCAGCAAGCCCCACAAGGTAGATGACGGCCAGAGTAGAAAGTTCTACTTCCAATCAAGGCTTCTCAGGACCCCAGGGAAGAGAAGTTGACTTTTTAACTCTCCAAGGCTCTTCTCTTGAGGACTATTAAAAATAAAATAGTTTATGTGTGTACACAGGCATCACGTGTGCCTGGTGTTCAGAGAGGTCAGAAAGGGCATGAAATCCCCTGAAAATGGAAGGAGATACGGATGGCTGCAAGCCTTCATGTGGATGCTGGAAACCAAATCCAGGTCCACCCCAAGGGCACCAAGTGCTTTTAACAGCTGATCTACCTCTCCAGCCACTCTCTTACCAAGCCTAAAGGTAGGGCTTCCCCACTTTGCAACTCAAGTGTCATCATGAAAAGGGAAAAGAGCCGGGCAG